AGTGCCACAAGGTACCAGAAACTAGCTCGGAATTAGAAATATGATATGTGATATATTGCTTCACACAAAACAAATCGTTGTACGGGATGGTAAATGATTGTCTTGTGACTTTCAGGCTGCATGTAGACTCTGACCCCTGCCTGGCCTCAGGTGTAAAAATTACATGGAGGCGATCGTTTTAAAACTTAATCCTATTACAAAAGTCCAGCAGGTTGTTTCCGCACGCTGCTTTTCCGGCCCCAAAAAACGGACAATTAAAAACAGGAGAAACTGAGAAAACACGGAAACGGCCTCCACCGATAAAAACACAAAAAGTCCCTTCGAAATCAGCAAAAATCACTGTGAAATCACTTCAGGTTTGGCAAGCATACATTCGTGTTCGATCGGGCGGCGAAATTTATTTCGGACAGCAGTGTAAGGCTGTGATCGGCACCCTTGGTTCCCGAACACTGGTGTCTGGACACCGACAAAAAATAGTGTTGCGTTCAAACACTGGCGCTCCAAGTAGTCAAGTACCATCTAGTACCCCAGTACAAGGTCGAAACCTTGTACCCGGCCACAGTGCCTGTGCCCTAATTCTGGTTTGAGTACTTGGAAAAGAGGTGTTTTCCCATTAGCGCCCAACGAGAATCGAACTTGGGCATCAAGCGTGAACATATCCTAAGAGTGCATGGAGAAAGAATTTTCTGCGGCGTGCATCCCGGGTTTTCATCGCGCTGTTACTTTTTCTTCTTTTTATTTACTTCATATCGTCCGACGTTTAATGGTATGGTTAACACTGTTACACGTCGCTTAACATATAGTTACGTACCTCAAATAACCTGAGCAGGCTCACGAATAGTGCTCGACCTCAGCGAGCTAGGCCTTGAAATGATTTTTTATTTTATTTTATTTATTTTATTTTTATGTTTTTATTTTTATGTTTGTTGATATCGTTGAGACTGGTCCATAGATTTAACCCTGGAACAGTTGTGGCAACCAGTTTTTTCGAGGGCTCCCTGCTTCACCGAACAACTTATCGAATTACTTGACGAATACTCTCTCGGCATTTCCCGTCACTATAACAACAACTGAAATTATAACTCTAAAATAACATTTTGCGAAAAAACGCAATTTTGGCCTGACTTCAACATCTAGGTCCCTGAAAAGGTTTTATTTATTTCCAAATATTCGTCGTAGATTGTGCACAGAAAAACAATTGGTATCGTGTGACTGGCAAACGGTGCAAATTCTAAAGTCATACAGAGGTCCAAAGTCCAGTAGGCAGACTAAATTGACTAACTGGACACCTACAAATATCCCTTATTGGCACAGAAATATAATTTGTAACCTTTCCCGCCTCTTTTTGCCCAGTTATTGACCTAGCTGTCATTCGCTTGTCAATCAAGAGTACACTCAAGGTCAAGGGCGCATGTGTTGTACTTCGCGTGACGTAACATAGCATAAATTTGCACGACACGACAAAAGACCGCAACCGGCGCAAGCTATATATTTGTAAACAACACGAGTATGAGGGGAAGGTGACAAGGAATTCGACTAGCTTCCACTGAAAACATGCAAGAAACGGAAGACCAAGGGTATGAGTATGATCCAGTGTTTCACTTAAGCCCTCTGTCAACAAATTCTCCGATTTTGTAGTAGGTTTTCAGTCGCAGATTGAAAATGTTAGCGTCATGTAGGCTTATTTTCTTTCACAGCACTGACGAGGGAGGAGCGAATTGGTTTTCTGGCTGGTTCAGTTGGTGTCCAACCTCTGAGAAATTGCTGGAAATCGCCGAGTCTCAAATATTAGAAAGTGAGTGTTTCCTGTTGGACTGTAATATATTTTTTTTAAAACCAAACACGTGTAACTTACACAAATTCCGTTATCGAGACGATCGAAATAAACATCGTGAAAGGTGACATTTTCATAGATCTTTGATCGTTCTGCGGTTAAGCATTTGTAATTACTCCGTTTGTATTTTTCCAAAGTTGTAACATTGTAGAGATCTCAGTTTAGAGTTATTTTCCTTCACAGGGTAGCCATTATCGATAAACGATGTCGTGCATTACATAATCATGTGACTAAAATCCACACGTCTGTTGTCGCGAATATTTATTTATCAGAATAGATATTTCACATCAGAGAGATATGATCGAATGTTTAGCCTCTCGACAACCATCAAAGAGCATGCCTGCATCTCGACTTTTCCCTTTTTCCTGTCTCCTAGAAACTCGATCGGCTTATGAAAGTGAATTTGTGCCTTTGGGAAATGGACACAGGATATGGACGTTAAGATTCAATCCAAGGGCTCAGAGAGTGCCGCTAGTCTTGATTCATGGGTTTGGAGGAGGTGTGGGTCTGTGGGCGATGAATGTCGACACCCTTTCTCAGAATAGGACTGTGTATGCTTTCGACATGTTGGGATTTGGCCGCAGCTCGCGACCACAGCTAAGCACAGATCCAGGCGAAGCCGAAGAGCAGTTTGTGGACTCCATTGAGAAATGGCGGGAACAGATCGGACTGGACAAATTTGTTCTCTTAGGTCACAGCCTTGGTGGCTTCTTAGCAAGTTCCTATGCCCTCAAGTACCCCTCCAGAATCCAGCATCTGATTCTAGCTGATCCTTGGGGATTCCCTGTTAAACCCACTGAAGATAATATAAATAGACATATTCCAGTGTGGGTTAAGTTTTTAGGAGCTGTTTTAAGCCCTTTTAATCCACTGGCAGGATTGCGTGCCGCTGGTCCTTGGGGTAAGTATTGAATGTGTATGTTTACATCATTGTGTACACACCCTCACTGGGGTATTCAAAATATACAGATACATGTTTGTATATTTTGTATGCCCCTGTAATGGTGTATACATATGTGGAGTAAGAGGGCTAAATCAAACCATAAGTGTCAATTATGTTTGATATTTTTTGCTGGATACCAGGCAAGATTGTCTTGGCAGGTCTGGAGGAGAAGCTAAACTGCTAGTGGTTGGGGGAGGACAGGCTAGGGGGGTCAGAACCTCCTGCTTCCCGTACCTTTATCCCCTGACTTCCCCTGCTCCTGTCTGCTGTAAATAAGGAGACTCAAAACACATCCTAGTCAATCATTATTATTTAGCTGCTCAATCCTTAGGCATTTCCTTTTCCTTTGTTTTCAGCCTTGTTCGTCTTACTCGCACCTTTTGACAACTTAAGTGACAACATTTCGTGACCTATGATGTAACCGCTTTCAAAGGGTTTCCAATTTTATGGGAAGTAAACCCCAGTTTTCTAGGCAAATGGCAAATTTCATTTGCTCATCGGCCCAGAAGTCTCCAAAGATGCCAAATGCAAGTCAAATAATGTTTTCATTGAGTTCTTGTTTTTTGAAAGTATTTGTGAACACTTGAATGACAAAAATTAGCATTTTGCATTTCTATCCCGCTTCCTGCCGTCTTAGAACCCCTGCTCGCCGCCCTTTCGTCTCCCATCTCCTGTCCCCTATTCTCCCGAGCTCCTGCCCCCCTCCACCTAGTGGGCCTATGCAGAAACTGGAAGTAAGCTAGTGTCAGAGCTAGACAATAAGTGCACTGTCTTGCTCCTTCAGTTCTTAGGACTAGAATAGACATCACACCAGCACTGGCTGGATTCTTGGGCAAGTGAAGATACTTCACTCTGATATTGCTTCTATCTACCCAGAAGTATATTAAGTGATTACCAGCAAATAAATGTTGAGGGTAACCCTGTGACGGCTGCCATTATTCCCAAAATGGGCGTCAAAGAGTAGATATTTGCGCTGACCTGACAGGCCATTCTTGTGGATGTGTACCATAAAAGTCTCCCCCAATGTGAATTCATTTGATTTGTTTTAACTCACAGGTCCTTCACTGGTGCGCCAATTCAGGCCTGACTTTCAAAGAAAGTTTTCCAGTATGCTTTCAGATGATACTATTTTTAACTACATTTACCATTGCAATGCCCAAGTACCAAGGTAAGGTGCCATACATGGGGACTTCCTCATTTGAAACACTTTGTAGTATTATTTTATGTTCAATTCGGGGTTGTATCTCAGGTAGTTATATTGTGGTAACTTGTTTAAAAATTTCAGGGCTTTTTTGTATTGGAGCACAGAGAGTAAAATTGTGTGATTTATGTTATATAATGAAGTAGTTTTCACTTGAGTGTGGGAAAACTAAAACCAAAGTGAACATTCTAACCAAACTCAAAGGATGCAGACAACTCCAAGCAAATATCTCTAACTGATGCAAAGTGTAGGAAAACATGTCAAAGTAAGTCATAATTGGTTTTGGTTTTGCTTCGGAACAGATGACAAAGTGGCACAAGTTTTTTAAGTGGCAGTCACATTGTGCAAAATCAGCCATGCTCGGCCCAGTCTTGTATCCAGAGCCCGCTTCCCCCTTTGCTAGTGGAAATGCAAAGCTCTTTGTGTTTTCGACGGCTGATCAAAGGGGATGGGGGCTCTAGGTATGAGATTGGGCTTGGCCATTGAAATAATGCATTCTGCGGTGGGTCATGTAAAACTAAGGTAAGTCAAGCTGGATGTCCTGCTGCTTAACTTGCAGTCCAGCTTGTCAGATTAAAAACCATGTGACTGAGTTGTGTAAAGGGCCTAAGAAGTAGTATTCTATGCCACATTATTACATGGCTATCTCCGTTAGTGGGCAAGACGAACCAAATACTGCACCATGATTGGCTAACCCAGTGAGCAAGATGGCACTATCTTGCCCACTCAGGATTATGCAAGCCCACTGTATCCCACAAGAAAAAAATTTCCTGATACTGAAGCAGGTTCCATTATAATAAATCCTTTATTGACTTAGCTTGTTTTGGTCAAGATGGCTGGATATTGGCCTTGTTCTCTTCTTTCCATGTCTGTAAACACGCAAATAGCAATATCCAGCCATCTGAACTGAACAAGCTTAATGGTCAATAAACCATATGTATTAACCTGCTTTATGTTATTCTTTGCAGTGGGGAAACAGCTTTCAAGAATATGACCATTCCATACGGCTGGGCTAGACATCCTATGATTTACAGAATTGGCAGTGTGGACAAAAATATACCCATTACTATGATATATGGATCACGATCGTGGATCGATCACAGCACAGGGAAAGAAACCAAGGAAAGGCGCAGGGGATGTTATGTTGATGTTCAAGTTATTACAGGTGCTGGGCACCATGTTTATGTAGACCAGCCGAACAAGTTTAATGAGTTGGTTGAGCAAGTATGTCAAAGTGTTGATGGTGATGACAATGAAGGCGATAATATGTAATGATTGATGTTAACCTGGCCATTAGCATCTGTGGTTGACTACCATTTTAGTTGTGTTACGCCTTTACCAGTAACTTTCACAAAGTGCAGATTTTCAGGGGAAGGGGAACGTGATATTTACTGGAGTTAAGGAGATATAAGGGTGAGGTCATTGCATTCTCTATTTAAGAATTTGGGCACAGGGCTTATTATGTATCTCTGGAAAATAATTTACTGATTACAATTTGTTTCAGAAGCAGGTCAGAGATTACATTACTGGTATGTAGTTATAAATAATGTTATTCTGCAAAACAATGCCAAAAAACGAAATTGGAAATAATTCTTTTCTTTAGACCAAATTCTGGTGAGTAAATATTGTACATATCATGAGCCATTTGCTTTGTAGCAATTATAGCAATTTTAAAATTACACTTTTGAAAGAAAATAAGTTCTCTTTTGACACAGTTTTATGACTATAGTTTTGTTAATTCCAATTCTAGCTACATGTAATTGCTTCCGGTCAAAAGCAGTGCTCATTGGAATAACTATTATTATTATTTTAATTGCACTAGTTTGAATTCTACAAATTTTGATTGATGTTTGTTGTAACACACTGTGCATCGTATTAGACAAAATAATGTATTTAGATTTGCTATTTATTACTACATTGTTATAGTTAATATAGGATCGATTCAAATTTCCTGAGATGACAAACTATGTTAATTAAAACAATTTTAACACAATATTGTCACTTTGTAGACTAGGTAATGAAATAATCACAAGGGAAAAAACTGCATGGAGCTACAAGTAAAATCACATGTTTTCAGAAATTTGCATAATATTTAATTGCCCATGTTGTGTTGTAATAGGATGAAATCTATAACATAAACACATTTCATATTAGGGAATTTATTGAGCATACTTCTTATTTTTTAATGCTAAAAATGTACATAAATTATATTCAAGGTTAAACAATATCTACAGGTTAATTTAAGCATCATTTGTGTAACTTCTCTATAAAAAAGTTGAAAAGTAAAGAATGGTTGTTATGTTGGCCATTGAGTTGCAATTTTGATACTGTGTGGCACTAAGTCTTGGGAGGAGTTTGATTTTGTAGAGTCTAATTAATGTGATTTGAAAGACCAGTTGTTTCATGGTAAAGCCTGCATATGAGCCATGTGGCCCATCAGGCTGGAGCTTATCCCGGTTTTTGTAGCATGAAGCAACTAGGAGTATTTCTACTCCCCCTGGATGGGATGTTGGTCCATCGCAGGGTTACCCCCAGCATTATACACCTGGGTGCAGGAAGGCACTGTGAGAGTTAAGTGTCTTGCCCAAGAAAACAACAATGACCCCGGCAGGGCTCAAACTCAGACCACTCGACCCAGAGATGAGCACATTAACCCTGTGGCCACAGCGCCTCCCCGCAGTTGCTTCATGCAAGGAACTATTGTTATTTTCAGCAAGTTGTGTGCAAGTGAAATAACAACTTAGAGTGTAATGCTATTTGATTTCTAATGCATATACACTGAAATATCCTGCAGAGGAAACACTTTCCACTTTTAGAGCTTAACTTCTGACGCAGTTCTAAGTTGACAAGAAATGCCATGGAAATATAACAAGTCATCGAGCAGCTGTCACCATAGCTTCAGAGTTTTCAGAAACTTATTAAACCTAACCAAGAGTGTCACACAGCATTGGAACCTATTTTTAGATGTCAACTTCAATTTGGTGTGAAATTTGGTGTGGTTAATTCAACAACTTCTAATAGTCAATTACCACTATTACAATAGCCTCTATTGAACAAAATGAGAAAGACCAACAAAACAGGGTCCCATATACTTCATAAAACTATTTTTAACAGCTTCACTATAATAATTATATTAGCAGGGCTCGAAAAAAAGTGCTGTCCAGTCATCCTGGACAAGTAGATTTTCCCTCTGGACAGGTAACCTTACCTAAATCATTCAAAGAGCAAGCTGAGACTTGCCAAGGGCAAGCGTTATTTGAGAGATACTTGTCTTAAGGGCAAGCTGGAATTCAAGTGTTTTTTGAGCCCTGTGTATTCTAATTGATCAAATTGGTTGAGGAAAAAGTGAATGTAAATTAATGTTGATATGTTCTCCAACCCTAGCCAAATTTAAAATATAAATGGCAAAATTTCTACCAGTGCTGGAATAAAGTTATTCTTTGACAGGCGTAAGACTGCAACAGACTGATACATCTTGCCTTTTCTTGCCTGTAGGGGTGAGTATGAAACTTTAAAATCTAATTTATGTATAAACAATATACACCAGGTTGATTTGCTCAAGTAGTCTTACTTGATTATTACAATAATAAAATGCTGCACTTCAATTTGGTATGTTACTAATAGTATTATTAAAACATATTTTATACATGATTTCAAGTTTGAGCCAGGGTTCTCCTGCATGCTCTTTTCACACATTGCCTACATGTACAGGCACTCCCCCCCCCCCCCCCCCCCCC